TACCTTAAATCATAATATTAAGGACCTTATAACTTACGGTATATTCCTTATTAAGGAATATACCTTAAATCATAATATTAAGGACCCTATAACTTAAACCCTAAACCCTAAACCCTAAACTCTACACCCTAAACTTAAGGTATATTCCTTAATTAAACTGAAAGTCTACGAGGACGAAGTCGGACGAAGTCCAAGATTTTCGGCACTCGCTAGACAAGCACTCTGAAGGGTTCAGGGTTTAGGGTTTAGGGTTTAGGGTTTAGGGTTTCTGTTACGAAGATGACTGCAGGACTAGTCATCGGCCATAGAAACGGCCGAGAAGCCCTTGCTACAGCACTTCGTTCACCTGTCGGACCATGTGGAGACCATGCGGAAACCTATCTCAATCCGACAGAGATCCGAATCCCTTGTAGCCCGTATCCCTGTGAAAATAGAATCTACCCGGAATTCGCCCCAAAGCCTGAGTTCTATTCAAGTTTGAACGCCCCTATGCCCAGAGGTTATGGGTACAGCTGGTCCTCGTGCGGTCGCATGCTTCGCCGTTGGTGCTGCGCTAAACTTGCTGAGTGCCGTGGGCCCAGTGCGAGGTGGAGCTGACCCTAAACCCTAAACCCTAAAACCCTAAAGAAGTGTACCAAGTCAAAAACCCTAAAGCCCTAAACCTTGTTGTGCTGTAGGATAGGCTACCAAGGGAGTTTAGCACAAGGGGCTGCGCCGGGCCGAATGCCTAGCGCCGCGCCCATCACATCGGGAAGGACAGACAAAAACCCTAAAGCCTACCCATAGGCCCCATAGTAGTTCCTTTTTGGGATTACCTTATAGGATTCTAAATTCTAAATATGAACCCCAAAAAGGAACTACTATGGGGCCTATGGGTAAAGCCTAAAACTCGAAAACCGGCTGCATGGGGTTTACCAAAAGAGCCTGAGATCTGAAGCTTTCATCCGTAGAAGAGCAGCCCCTTCCGGTTTCAGGGATATTCTAACACCGGACGCTGCAGCCTGTTTGAAGCTCAATCCTATGACTTCCGTAGTTTACTCAGTTTGATCCAGTTCGTAAGGATGCATCGCATGATCTTGCTGGCAGCGGCGCTGTGCGCAGGTCCCGTGAGTCCGGGGCAATGCGAAGTGATCGCAGCATCGAACGAGATGCCATGGTCTACCAGAGCACCTTGAGCCAGGATGCAACCACGGCTACATCAGCGGATGCAGGGGAAATCTGCTGCGTCTGTCAAGAAGGCGAAAGAACGTATCCGGGCGGCATATGCCCTTCAAGATGTACCTAAAGACCCGAGCCGGGCGGGTGCACGGTGGAGGATGTTCGGGAGAGGATCGCACCTCCGCTGCGTACCTTCCACCGAAAGTACTTGGAAAACATTCCGAAGTATATCTGCTGCGTGTGTACTACTATTGAGGGAATAGCGCATGAAGAAAGGACTTTACCAGCGACCAGCAATTGTCCGCAAGGGTGTGCAAAGAAGGGCCACGGCCGAGGCGACCGTCCATGCCGAGTCTAGGTGTGCTTTTCGAGGCAGGTGTCGCAGTCTCGTCTGCGGCTGACATCGGCTGGCAAAAGGAGCTTTGCGAGCCTGAGTTCATCTTCCCCCTTGATGTGCAAAGAGAGTCAGCGAGTCCTTTCCACGTGTTGATGAGGGTTTTTCAAGGAGCATAGGGCTGAAATTTGAGCATAGCGGCACAGCAACGACCATGCTTTTGGACTCCTGTTTTCAGGCACAGCAGCTGTCAGTAAGTGCCGAGCAGATGCAAAAGAGAGTGTATGTGATCCCACGCCGTCAAGTACCCAGAGACCATTTTCCAAATAGTTGGGCACGCACGCGGCCCTAAGCCAGTCGCGAAGGAGTTTTAGGATCGTTTAGGGTTCGCATCTTTGTAGCGAGCCCTGCTGTTCAGTCTCCAATGATGTCGGCACAGACCGTGGATACCTTGATTCGAAGCCCTAGGGGTATATAATGAAAAACCGTACAGGCTGCAATAACTTACAGCCATGCAGCCTTTGCAGCACCCTTGTATTCAAATATGTCGCAGCTGTGCTAACACTGAGCAAAAATAGGATGCCAACATAGATCTCTATGTTTCTACCATGTACTACACAGAACTTGACGAACACTTCATAGAAAGCTTGTCAAGATGCGAAATCTTTCTGTCTAACTGCAGCATGTCATTCAAGACAAACCGGCCGATCGGGCAAGGAATTAGGATGGTCAAAGAATCTAGTGCTCGGGCAAAATGAAATCTGACGGTGTCATAGAAAGGCTTGTTGCACTTCCCAAAGGTAGCAGCCTTAGTTGTAACTTTGGTTTTTTTCTTAGATGTAACTTCTTTGCTTTCTTAATGTAGCTTTTTCCAGCGTCCATGCTTGCTGCATAGCAGCGGGAAGCAGAGCTTTGCCCCTCCGCTCCCGTCCCCAACCTTTGGCCGAAGACGAAAACCCTAAGGAGTAAACCCAGCACGAGGCGCGAAACTTCTACGAATAACGAAAACCCTAAGGAGTGAACCCAGCACCAAGCTTTTACGAAAGACGAAAACCCTTAAGAAGTAAACCCCGCAGGAACCTTCGGTCGAAGACGAAAACCCTAAGGAGGGAATACGGAGTAAACCCAGGTCGAACCTTTGGCCGAAAACGAAACCTCAAGGAGTAAACCCAGCACGAAGCTTCGACGAAAGACGAATAAACCCCGCAGGAACCGTTGGCCGAAGACGAAAACCCTAAGGAGTCAGGAACCTTTGCCCCTAGCACGGCAGGGTCCGAATAGAGCCCAAAACAGTCATAAGTAAGATGCGTGTTTTGTTACCCTCTGCAGAGACTTTTTGAGACGAAAAAAGTTACGAAGATGTTTGGTGGAAAAACAGAAAGGTCACATCTAAGAAAATAAAAGTTACAACTACGCATTCCACCTTCCCAACAACTCCCAGACGACATGTTTTGATGGAACAGTGAAGCACTGACGACACCAGCATTCACCTGGTCGCTGTCAGACCGTCCTGCAGTCGCCCCTTAGCCTTGCTGAGGCACAGGTCGGGGTCAGCGTCACCGTGCAGGGGCAGACACGCCTGGCCCATGCGCCGCTCGCCGAGAGGGCCTTGGGTTTTAGGGCTTTAGGGTTCAGGAAAACGGGTTGAGGACGTATAGGATTCAGGGTCTTCGAAGGGATCCCTCACTCCAACTGCAACCCCACTCCCCCGTAAGTTCTCGCTGCAGTCATCGAAAGTGGTGTGTGCAAAGTCCTATAGGGCCAAACACCGAGCAGTGAACCGCCTACGAACGTCAACAGTGAAGGAGCCCTAAACCCTAAACCTTAAACCCTGAACCCTAAACCCTAAACCCTAAAGCGCCGATCCAGAAGAACTGCAGTTGGCATAGACATGGAGACCTTAGGCTCCAAGGGTAAAAAGTGCTGTCGAACCCACCGTCCATGAGCTTCGTGGTGGGCAAGCAGAACGCGCCCAGAGATGTCAACCCTTCGATAGCCACGGCGTGGGTTCAGGCTGCAAGTGGCTGGTTCACCAACTATAAATTCCAAAAAGGCTTATTCGAGATAGGAGCGAGATGTTTGAGGTTGAGGTTTAATCGCTACATACAGTTCCCTTGTGAAGGAATCCTCTTATAGTCACAGCAGTAAATGGCCTGCCGACGAGCGATCGGGGTCTACATCACCTGAAGCCCGAAATCCCTCAACCCAAATCCATCCAAACCCCTTGATTCATCATTCCTCGCTAAACCTAAGCAGTCCACAACCCGGAAACCCTAAACCCTAAACCCTAAACCCTAAACCCTAAACCCTAAACCCTAACCTGCTCCGACCACTGCGGACGCATTGGCGAAGGCGCAGTCGGTGGGGCTGCAGACACGTCTGGACCAGGGCATCAGTGCGCGCGCTTGTTCAGCGCCGCAAGGAGCAGATCGCAGCGATGGGCTCTGTGCAGGTCGGATTGCTCTGGAAGGTCCTTCACACAGTGGATGGGTACGCCCTCCTCGGAATGTTTGCCAGGCCATGGGCGTCGGCCGATGTCTGCGTCGATCTGCAGACATTAGGCTTCGCGCCGTCAGCACTGTCAAACTTTGCGACGAAACGCTACGCCTCCATCACGGCGGGGCAGGAGGGTGCCGGCTCTATCCGCGCCACGCTGGCGCTCATCGAGGCGGTCGACGCTCGGGTGGTTGCATGCCTGAGGGGCGAGTCACAGCAGGCAGTCCAGGCTCTTCGCCGGGCAACAGCAAAGTTCGGGGCGGCCATGGGCCAACAAGCGGCATTCTTGTTTTCGGAGCCTGCCGAGGCGACGCGCTACATGCTGGAGCTCACTTCGAGCTCAGAGCTGAAGACAGCTGCGGCGACGATCATGGACTACATGCAACGCTCGGTCGCGCTAGGCACTCTGCGCTTCGCGGACAGCCTCGTGTCGTTCACAACCGGTGTTCCAGTCATGGCGAACTTCGCCGACACAGCCAAGCAGGCGCTGCTGGCGCTAAGCGAGAAGGACATCATCGCCGCTGTGCTCACCAGCTCACTCAAGTCTGGCTCGACATCAGCCATGAACGCGATCGCAGACGCCGTGATGTCCGCAGCTGTCCCGGCTGGCGCCGATCGCGTCAAGTTCTACGCGGGCGTCGCGCTGCGCTTGGCACCCACAGTGAGCACCTGTCTCGCCAGTGGCACAGTCGCAGCAGCCGATCGCGCTTTCATGGACTCCGTCGTGCCAGGTGCGGCTGTCGCAGTGGAGAGAGCATCGACTGAGTTCAAAGCGCAGGGCATCACGCTCTCACAGGCTGCTGGCCGTCCGGAGCTCATCGACTACATGTGAGCACCTGCCAGAGGCCAGCAGCACGCCGTGCCAGCAGCACGCCGTCACAGCAGCGGCTGAGGTCGTTGGGTTTTGGCAGCTGCGGACAGGCTGGGCCATTCTGCGCTGGAACGCAGACGGCGCGTCTGCCTCTGCTCTCGAGCGCTGCGCCATGCCTAGCTGCACTGCGGCTGCGCCGCTCTGGGCGGCCGTCGCGCATTGATTGTTTTCAAAAGGCTTCTCCGAAGCCGCAGCTGCCACCATAGATCAGAGAGCCTGCACAGCAGGTGCCGAGGTTTCTGTGAGTCAAGCAACTGGCCGGATAGATCCAAAAAAAACCGCCTGGAGCTGGGTGAGTAGCATGGTCTTTTGAAACAGCGAGCAGCTGCTCGAAGCCCGCAGGATTGCTTGATGAACCACGCTTTGGCCCTTGCTATCATGTTTTACTATTCTTACTGTGTATTGTGGTTGTCAAGCATTCTGCATGTATTCTTGTCATGTGGAGACTGAACTATGCGGAGCCTTGCCGGCCTTGTGCGAGTGTGAGAGTCGAAACCCTAACCCGAACCATGAACCCTGGGCCATGCCTCCTCAAATACTAAATCCAAGGTTGAACCCATGGGCCCTTAACAGGGGCCCTAGGGTCCCTTGAGGGTATATATAGGGTATATAGTAGGGTTTAGGGTTTAGGGTTTAGGGTTTAGGGTTTAGGGTTTAGGGTTTAGGGTTTAGGATAGGGTATATAGTAGGTACATTAGGGTTCAAGGCTAAACAAACCGCAGCATAAGGCTTGGCCTGGAACTGTTCGACGCCTTGCAGATCGGGATCAGGCCAGGGCTATATACTTGGGGATTGATTTTGGATTTAGGTGAGGTTTAAGTTTCGTCGCTGGGGCTATACTTAAGTCTTTACGCGATAGGAGGTTCTACCATGACCAAGGGCGTCGGATTCCTAGGCCCCTGTGTTCTACTGAATCGGGCAAGGCTTGCAGGCTGTAGACTTCATTTTAGGGTTTAGGGTTTAGGGTTTAGGGTTTAGGGTTTAGGCGAGAAGCCCACAACCTGAAGCCCTAAAGAAATGTCTTTCATGACTAAAGGGTAAACCCTAAAGCCTAAAGCCTCATGTTGTCCAAGCAACCAAAACCTTAGGGTTTAGGGTTTAGCAAACCGATGTAAGTGTGGCTGTCGGGTTTTTTGGATGTACCGTTGAGGGCTTCAGGGGGCAATGTAGAGCATGGGATGGCTGAATCTTCGTCGCATCGAGCCCTGCGCCCGCCGACTTCAAAACATGAGTCCCAAACCCTGAGGCCTGAAACCCTAAATGCCGCGTTCTGGAGTCGGGCAGCTCTGTGCTACTGGGCCTATTCCTTTCGGCATCGGGGTCCTGGCTCTACCCACAGGCCCCATGGTAGTTCCTTTTTGGGATTTATAGGATTCAAAATATGAACCCCCAAAAGGAATCACTATGGGGTCCATGGCTCTACTACTAAGACCCTCGATCCCGAAATCCGCGCCTTCACGCTGCTAGTTTACCGGTTTGGGGTTCCGGCTGGAGGGCTTCAGGGTGTAGGGTTCAGGGTTTAGGAACTAACTCTGCTCGGAAGCTGGAAGCGCTGTCACGAGTACAGTGCTAGTCGGCGGACGAGTGGCTACCTACCAGGCGTCGTTCTTGCGAGCCTGCAGCAAAAGGAACTAACTCTGGAGCCTTGACCCTCAACCCTAAAACCCCTAAACCCTAAACCCTAAAACCCTTAATTTTAATTAAAAATTTTAAATCCCTAAACCCCTAAACCCTAAACCTTTAACTACCCTAAGCCCATGCAGGAAATGTGTCCTGAACCCCTAAGTTTCCGAAACCCTTCATTACAGCCTTAGCCTTCACGCTCTGCTATAGCGGCCTCAATAATTATATACCGACACTAGTCTGGGGGCCCCTTGCTATTATAATCATAGTATAATATACTCCGAAACACTATTCTAATCATTATGGCTCCGATGTTATGTCCCCCTCAAGACAAAAGAGCCCTAAACCAACACTCGACAGGACTGGCTCGATTGGAGGACTGCTTGCAACATCCCTCGCCCTGGGAGGCATGTCCTTTCAGGGCTTCCAATGTAGTACTGGGGGCATTCTATAGCGCCTTTGCAATTAGAACAGGTTTTTGGGGGTATATTGTACTAGGGTTTTATATATAATAAGAAACCCCCAAAGTAGTATTAGTCATTATTTAGGCCCCTACATTACTTGGTACTGAAAGAGTCTCCTCTCATAGTCCTGATATTCAACTTACAACCCCCTAAACCCAAAACCCTAAACCCTAAACGCCCTAAACCCTAAACCGTTACAACAGCTTGAAGATTCAGGCGCCCAGAATGGGCTGGAAGGAAGGGGAGCCTAGGCTTTAAGGTGTTTGATTTCAGGGCTCTAACTCTAGGCTGGGTTTCGAGATTTAGGGGGTTAGCGATGCAGAACTTGAGTTTAGGGACTATAGTGACCAAGGATTTAGATGTGTAGGAAATTTGCAGGTCTGCAACGGTCGCGGTTTTTTGTTGTGCTGAGGCCTCAGGCTTTGGGTATGTAGTTTCCATGTACACTGATTCGGGTACGGGGCTTGTTAGGGCTGTCATTCGCGGGTGCTTCGCTTCTAGGGTGCTCAAGCGCTGGCAGCCATCGCTCAACACAGGCATGGCTGGCATGTGGCTCCTCATCCAGGACAGCCCGATTAATGCTCAGGATCCAAGTGCGGAAGCACAGACAGCGAGAGAGACCGAGACAGAGAGGGAGAGGCCTAGAGGCAGGCACAAAACTTGTAGTCGAGGTACACAGTCAATGATTGCAACCACAACCATGTTGGACTCCAGCGCAGGACACGCTTTCGTTGTCCGGTTTTGGCTCAGGAGCTTCGATTGCCCCATGGCGCCATGGGGTTTCAGGGTTTACGACAAAGTCAATCAGTGCAGGGTTCAGCGGTTTAGGATTGTAAGGCTTTCAATCGCCAGAAAACAAAGGCCCCACTCTGGACCAAAAGCTGTAGGAATACTACTACAAAACGAAGCTTCGTCGTACTTTGGGAGATCCAAAGCCCCTTTCCCCTTACGGTTTAGGGTTTAGGGTTTGAGGACGACGAAACTACCCATAGGCCCCCACAGTAGTTCCTTTTTTTGGGTTCATATTTAGAATCCTATAAGGTAATCCCAAAAAGGAACTACTATGGGGCCTATGGGTATACTGTCCTGGCGACGTACGAAGATCCAAGGTGTCGTTCTCCATGCGAGTTGGTGGCGGCATTTTCTCCAAAGGCGCTGACATAGGTGCGGATCTTGTCAGTGCCCCGGCAAGACAGAGCTTACCCATAGGCCCCATAGTAGTTACTTTCTGGGATTACCTTATAGGGTTCTATTTGTGAACCCCCCAAAAGGAACTACTTTAGGGCCTCTGCTGAGAGTAAGAATTAGAGGTTTGGGGTGTCATTCAGGGTGTCTTGGGCAACAGATTCGACAAAGCCTTCGGAGTCTATTGTTTTCTGTGGTTGCACACCCAAGGCGGAAACTCCACAAAGATGCTGTAAGGGCGTGGGTGACACAAGGCAAAATGGCGTCGAAGTCCGAGAGAATAACGGGCCAGTACCACGTAACTCTGGTTGATCGTGCACTTGCTGTTCTTTGTTTCTTCTGCCCACCACTCCGAGCCCCCAAGCCCTGATTGTCGCTTTTTTGCCACAAAAGCCCTGAAACCCCAAACCCGATGTTGCCCTAAACCCTGAACCCACCACAATAAATCCGAGATCACTCTCTTTGGAGCCTTGCATCGACCCTAAACCCTAAACCCTAAACCCTAAACCCTAAACCCTAAACCCTAAACCCTAAACCCTAAACCTTAACCGCAGGCGACATGGAGCAGACCCGGATGGAGGAAGACCAGCGACTCTTCGAGCTGCAGAAGAAGATGGCGGAGTTGGATGTCTTGGCCTCAGTTTAGGGTTTAGGGTTTAGGTAGGGTTTAGGGTTTAGGCTTCAGGCTTCGCGTTTTGCTGGTAGGGGTTGATATGAGGGCTCTATGCGTGTTTAGGAAGGGGGTTCTTACCTAGCCCCGCAACAGTAGGTGAAAGAATGGCCCAAAACCTATAAAGGGCCGTTATTCTACATACTTTCAGGGTCCAGGTATCCATAAACTACCCAAAAAGCCTCACCCGAAACCTCAAGTGAACCCAAGAAGCCGAAGGAAGATCGCAAGCAGCGAGCGAAGCGAGGGGTCGAAGGAGACGACGAAGAGATGAAGCTCGGCTCGAAGGGTTTGGGGTTTAGGGTTTGGGGTTTAGGGTTTAGGCTCGAAGGTTGCAGTTGTTGGTCTGTCTGTTTGTCTGTCTCTGCTCTCGCTCTCTCTCCTCTCTCTCTCTCTCTCTGTTTCTTTCTCCTTCTACACACATCTAACTAGTTGTGCAGGTATGCATATATATATATATATATGTAAAGGCACACAAGGACATAGGAGGAGAGGAAATGCCTGACCTGTTGCTGGTATTACCATCACTTCAGTACGATTGAAGACCCAGCGCTGAACGTACTTCCCGCGTCTCCTGTGCGCAGGAACTTCGCGTAATGCCGGGAGAACGCATGCCTGGATTTTCGGACCCTGACCCCTAAACACTTCAACAACTATAGTACTCCAAAACTCCAACCCCAGCCCCTAAACCTGAAAACTGTTAGCTTGCTTGAATATCCTTCGAGCAAACCCGAGGATGGCGGACTTGAGACGGATGGAGGCTGGTGTCAGGTTTGTGAGCCACCTATGCTCTCCATTGCATTTCTTTTTTTGGTTTAACCAAATATATATATATATATACATATATTAACGAGTTTATAAGGTATCCCCAAAGAGGAATTACAATGGGGACTATAGGCAGGTATCGGTCCGAGGTTTGAGGTTTATAGGGTTCTGGGTTGCGGGCTTATAAGGATGAAAATTTGCAAACCGATGCAGACCGCCCAACTCAGTATCTTGGACCCTGCATGCAGAAATTATTGTGCTTCCATGCGCGTGCGCATTCAGAATCATTCAGAGGCTCTGCGCGCTCGCAGAGACATTTCTCACGGTATGTAAGTATGAACGTCAGGAGGCCCAAGTCAGAGTGGCAGTCGAAAAGCAAAACAAGCTGCGTCCGGGCTATGCACCGAAGTATTCGTTCCCCACCCTAAACCCTAAAACCCTAAACCCTAAACCCAGCCTGCAACATGAGAGCTGCCGACGCAGGAAGAGATGCAAGATATCGCTTCACAACTGCACCCCATCGACTACTTCGATGTAGTTGGAGAGGCCAGAAAGCCGTGATCCTTAAATTAGCTTCCCCCGACCAGCCGAACAGCAAAACATCATTTGCAGAGTTAAGGTATATGGGTTCGTATTTCGGAAGTCATCGTCAGTTACAGAACGTGGAAGTGAATTATTTGAGCCTTGTTCGCCAGGTAAAGTAATAGGCTGCAACAAGATTGTGCCAACAACAAGATTGAAAATAATAATAATTATGGTGGTGGTGGTAGTTTCTTTAATGTTATAATTAAAGGGTTAAGTGGACATTGAGTTCCTCGACAAGAAGCGGTCGAGAACACGCTAGACACTAAACCCTTCAGCAGCAGCTCTTAGTGTCTTAGTGCTAAGCGTTGGCCACTCACAGACGCGGGTTAACACACGGTTCTGCACGGTTTAGGGTTTCAGTTTGTCGGGTTTGGGGCCAGGGCTTAGGGTTTTGAATGGCAGGCGACTCTTCAGGAATTCATGTTGGACCAACCGGGAATGGTTGAATGATGTTGAATGGCAGGGTGCAGTTTTTGTCTGAGGTCTCCGAGGTTTGGGACGAGGGCAGCCGCAGTATGATTCGGCCGGGGAACTGTACCCACGCCAACACACATCCACTGAACTTGCAGGGAAAGAAAGCCCCAAACTGGCAAACCCCAAATCCTAAATCCTAGAACCCTGAATCCTAACCCTACTGCGGATAACAAACCTTCCGACAGTTTTCCCCAGCGGGCACATCAATGCAGGACCACGAGCCGAGAACCTGAGCAATCTTCAAGCCATGCAAGCCTTGAGCCGTGCAATATAGGGGCCTTAATAATTAGAATAGGGTTTTGTGGCTATGATTATCATAAGGGGCCCCCCAAAACCCTATTTTAACTATTAAGGCCCCTACATTAAACAGCCTCGACCGGTCGGCGAAGTTGTGAGGTTCGAAACTTTGCACACCTGAGACATCCTGAGACCATCCTAAACTCACCTCAAGCCTTATGCTCGAAGCCGTGCAAGTCCTCAAACTAAAAGCAGGCCATCAACGATGTCTCCGGGACTTGCGCGGATCTTTTTGAGTCAATGGTGCTGACCCTGAGCCGGCAATTTAGCAGTTTGATGGTGGCTTTCCGGTCTCCTTCTTCAAGGCAACTGCCAACGTTCATGATGCCAGAAAAGGTTCTAGGAACCACTATAGCGGCCTAAATGATGGCAAATGATATTCCTTAGGGCTCCGTGGGTGTACTCGTAGAACAAGGCACCCCACATCCTTTTTACGATTTGTTTTGTTAATGCCACTGTAGTAAACACTGAGATGCCCGATCTTCCGGTGGTCTGGGGGCGGGCGCACTGCTACAAAGGGTGCATGCGGCCTGGGTGCGCCCACACGCACCCATGACACCCATGTCGTAACCACACACCTCAGCTTTAGACCTTAAGCTCCAAGCTTCAAAGTTTCCTTCAGACCTGTCTTCCTATCCCCGCGCAAAGGTTCTTTCCAACAACTCGTACCCCTATAGGCCCTATACCTGACGGAATCTTTCAGACCCCCGTTCTTGAACGAACTGTAGCCCAGGACGCCTACCACTCCTTGAAGGAAATGCCTAGGCATGCATACATACTTACTTACACACATTGCAGACATACAAGAACAAAGCACATCACACACACGCACACGCTCACAGGCACAGGCACAGGCACAGGCACAGGCATGCGCACATGCACACGAACAAACTGATACATGTATATACACGTATTCATACACACACACACATGCACGCGCATCCGCTCATGAACTAACAAAAACCCCCCGCACGCAGGTTTTTGGATTACATGTTCAAAAGTCTCCAAACGCCGATCCCCTACTCCCCTAAACACCAAAACCCAGAAGCCCTGAACCGTTAAGCGCCAGGGCTAGCTCCAAAATCTGCCCTAACTCCTACAGTGTCGGACTTGTTCCCAAGCCCTGAAACCAAAAGCCTAAACCCTGAACCCCTAAACCCTAATTGGGCCCTACCCATAGGCCGCGTAGTAGTTCCTTTTTGGGATTATGAACCCCCAAAAAGGAACTACTATGGGGCCTATGGGTAAACGCTCAGACCCCAAAGATTTTGTCTCTTGAAGCCATGCGCCTGCCTTTTGTGCGAGTGACTCGAAAGAAGCCCTAAACCCTGAAATCCTAAACCCTACGTAAACCCTGAAATCCTAAACCCCAAACCCTAAACCCTAAACCCTGAAACCCAAAAAAACCCTGAAATCCTAAACCCCCAAACCCTAAACCCCAAACCCTGAAATCCTAAACCCCCAAACCCTAAACCCCCAAACCCTGAAACCCTGAAACCCCCAAACCCTAAACCCCCAAACCCTGAATCCTGAAACCCCAAACCCTAAATCCCAAACCCTGAAATCCTGAAACCCCAAACCCTAAACCCCAAACCCTAAACCCCAAACCCTAAACCCCAAACCCTGAAATCCTGAAACCCCAAACCCTAAACCCTTCTTTGCACTTTAAAAAAAAACCTAAAGAACAAAGTCTGGACCCTAAACCCTGAAACCCTAAACCCTGGAACCCTAAACTCTGAGACCCTAAATTTGGAAATCCTAAATTTTGAAACCCTAAAGAACAAAGTCTGGACCCGAGGATCCTCGGCACTTGCACCATCATCGGCGTGAAAGGCAGCCCGGTGCCTTGGCTGATGATAGTATGGATGCTCCAAAAAGTAGATCCCATGAGGGGGGTTCCTTTAAAGGGATCTATAGGCTATAGGGATTACAGGGGATTTATAGGGGGTTTGTGGGGTTTTGGGAGTAGATGCTTTGCCTCATCTAACAGATGGGGCCTTGTTGTTAATTAGGCTTGGGTTTTGGAGCCCGTTTAAGTATACTATACACGTAACCCTAAGGACTAGCATTGGTGATTATTGAGACTTCTCTAGTAGGAGTTGTGGGCGGTTTGGGGGTATTGGAGCTTAGGGTTTTTGGCCTGAGGCTTTTAAGATGTACATGCTTTTAGGCTGTAAGGCAGTTTCGTGGGTTTGGGTTGAGGGGTTAGGATGTCGGTTCGAAAGATGGTTTGGGTTTAGGGTCAGGGGTCTAGAAAATAATTACCAATGCTCTCGTTGGGGTTCCGTGTTAGAAGTTATAAGTATAGTATAGTGGGCCCGAAAACCCTATTCTAATTGTATCAAGGCCCCTAAACCCTAAGCTCTAAACCCTAAACCCTAAACCCTGAAGGGTCAGGGTTTTGGGCAGATTGCGGCTTGGTAGCTGACCAGGCAACTTGCGGGACGCAGGGTTTGGGGTTGAGTCTTCGAGGCCCTACACCCTAAAACCTTCAGCCCTGAACCCTAAAACGCTAAACCCCCAAACCCAAAACCCTAAACCCTGAAACCATAAACCCTAAAACCCTAAAGCCCTAAACCCTAAAGCCTTAAAACCCTAAAACCCTAAAACCCTAAAACCCTAAAACCCTAAACTCTAAACCCTAAAAAACCTTAAAACCCTAAACTCTAAAGCCGAAACCCTCAAAAAACCCTAGAACCCTAAACGCCCTGAAGCAACAGCCTTAGGCCGAAGCCCCAAGCTGCGAGGTTCTAAGGGCTTTAGGAGGGACCGTTAATAGGGACCCTTAATCCCATTACCTTAAATAACCATTGTATGGTCAGTATAGTCCTTATATACCCCTTAGAGAGCCAGATAGTCTGCCTACTCTGGAGACTATCTGGCTATATAAGGACTATACAATGGTTATTTAAGGTAATGGGAGCAAGGGTCCCTGTTATGGGTCCCTCCTAAAGCCCTTACCCTAAACCCCTAAAGCCCTAAAACCCTAAACTCTAAACCCCAAAGCCCTAAAACCCTACAACCCTAAACTCTGAAACCCAAAGCCCTAAAACCCCAAAGCCCTAAACTCTAAAACCCAAAGCCCTAAAACCCTAAAGCCCTAAACTCTAAAACCCAAAGCCCTAAAACCCTAAAGCCCTAAACTCTAAAACCTCCTCAAGCCCTTGGAGAGGTTCCGTCGTTCAACTCCGGCCTGCCTTTTTGGATCATTGCGTCCGGCAAGGCTCGGTTGGAGGGGGTTTAGTGCTCTTAGGGGTTCAGGATTTACGGGTTTAGGGTTTGGGGTTTAGGGTTTAGTGTTTAGGGTATAGGGTTTAGGGTTTAGGGTTTAGGTAGTGCTCTTAGGAAGTAGGTTTCGGTATTTTTCTAGAACAAAACTGCAAGGGGTTTAGACACAACATCAGCGAAAGATAGTGTATGTTATGGTTCTAAGCACGCTTAAGTCTAAGTCTGGGGCTCTTGGGGGTGTAGGGCTCACCTCAGTAGTTGCAGGGTCTTCCTAGGGGCTGAGTAGGTAACCGTTAACCTTTTGTTTATATCATCCTACTATACACCCTAAACCCAAAACCCTAAACCTCAAACCTTTTGCTTATATCATCCTACTATACCTCAAAAGGTGAACCTTTTTTGGGCTAGGGTACTCAGCCCCTAAGGTCTTGGAGGCTTATAACAACCCTAAACCCAAAACCCTAAACCCTAAACCCTAGACCCTAAACCCTAAACCCTAAACCCTAAACCCTAGACCCTAGACCCTAAACCCTAAACCGTTATAAGGCTTTGTTGGTTTAGCTTTCAAGGTTCTGAGGGGGCCTAGGGGGTTTGGGATCTGGATTCTGCAGGGTTCGAGCTCCTGTTGTTAATATAGGGGCCTTAAAGAATTACCAATACTATTTTTTGGGGCGTTCCTTAATGTAATTATAGCATAATATAATTATAGTTTAATTTACTTATAGTATTATATACTCCAATACCCTATTCTAATTATTAAGGCCCCTATAAGGTTTAGGAATTAGTGGGTTGAGGATTTCAGGGGCCGGCATCTTGCGTTGCCGTGATACTGTTGTGCCCTGACTCTAATCAATCCCTCACTCCAAATCCGTCAAAACCAGCGTATGAATAGTTTTTGGTGTTATGCTTGTCGCAAGTACGAACTGAGGTCAACCCTGTCACTGCGAGTTCGTTCTTTCGCACATGCCATCGGTTGTTTCGTTGACGGCTGTCAGAGACTGACCAGAAACCCCTGAAAACATTGAGCTCTTTCATCCATAACTCCAGCCCCGCCAAACCGCGGACTCAATAGTAGCAATAGTAGTAATAATAATACTAACAAATAAAAGGTAATAACAATAGCAATAGTAGTAAACAAGGCATGCTTTGCTCACTTTGGTTTGGTGCTTGCCTGGGTTCTTGGGTCAGCGGAGTGATAGGGGCTCGTGTTTGCATTAGTGCGGGCACACTGTTACGAATGTCGTCGCTCTTGCTTCTGCTGCTATTGTGTTGCTGTATTTCTTCTAGAAAGCACGAGCATCTAAAGTTAGGGTCCACCTTTGCGGGTCCTTTTTATAATGGTGCCGCACTATATTGGGGCCTAAAAGGGACCTTAATTTAGAGAACTACCCATATGAGTACTTTGCAGCTTTCAGGGATCTACCTGACCCCCCAACTACCCTCTATTATCCCTTAGATGGCCACTATCAAGGACCATAAGGGCTCAAAATAAGGGCCATTTGGGGGGGGGTCCTGGTAGGCTTCTGGGAGCTCGGGTAGCCTGGCAGACCGAATGAGAGTTTCCCTCCAAGGCGCTGGGCTCAAGCCCTCAAAGGTAATGTAGGGGCCTAAATAATTACCTATATTATTTTGGGGGTTCCTGATTATACTTATAGGCTTATAGGAGAAATGGGCCCCTAAACCCTATTCAACGTACTCATGTGGGTAGTTATCTAAACTGGGGGTCCCCAATATAGGACGGCACCCTTGTGAAGAAGAACCCCAAAAGGGACCCTGTTTTAGAGAACTACCCATAAGTATCCAGCAGCTCTGGCACAGGACTGGTGCCCGAATGCCCGAAATCATTTCAAAGTCAGGTCGAAACTGAAGCCATTAAACAACCGAGCCCGAAACCATAAGCCTTATATCATCACCCTTTAAGCACTGAAGCCCGAAACCGTCGGCAAAAGGTCATCAGCCTCTGCTTGGGAGGGTTGTCCCTGAACCCCAGCCTCCTGAACCTGTGAGTGTCAAAAAGCCCTTGAACCCTAGCCCTGAAACCCTAAACCCAAAAGCCCTAAACCCTTAAACCCTAAACCCCTAATCCCTAAACCCCTAAGCCCTAAACCCCAAGCCCTTAGACCCTAAACCCTTAAACCTAAAGCCTAAAGCCTTCGCAGGTGGGTTGTTCGTTGGTGGCTTACTTTGTTCACGTCCACGAGCGGTTCACGGCGAAGCGTATGCGGTGGAGCCTGCGAGCCACTGGGGATCATCCCAAAAGGTTTATGGGTTTAGGGCTTAGGGGGCATCTCACGGGGTTTCTGGGGTCGGTTCGGGGTTTAATGCTTAGGGCTGAGGGTTTTATCATGGCTTGCGCACGTGTTCAACGATGTGGAAGGGTTCATTGCTTTTTCTTGCAACGGGCTGTTGGCCTCAACCTCAGGATTCTCACTCGCTCTCGACCCTGCATCGACCCTCTATTACAACCTATATACCCGTTGTTTGGGACCATTTACCCTATTTGAGGGCACAAGGTGGGACATGGTAGCTCTGAATCGTTCGAAGACGAGGTTTCTATCAGCATTGGGTGTACAATAGTCAGCTCGGTTCAGTCTCTCCTCCGGAATCCCATCGCCGCAATAATATAGAAGCCTTCAAACAATTGCCAATATTATTCCGTAGGGTTCCCTATCATAATGCTACTAGAAAGGGGCCTAAACCCTATTCTAATTATTTAGGCCCCTGCCTAGATCCCCCAACTACCCTCTATTATCCCTTAAATACCCACTATTAAGGACTATAAGGGCTCCATTAAAGGGCCATTGGGGGTCAAGGCCTCTAATTACACTAAAACCCTTAGTAACCCTTCAAGGGAACCCGATCTTAAGGCCCCTCCTTTTTTGTGTAAGCAACGCGCCCGCCCGGCACTGTGAAGCTTCTTCCGCGAGCTGCAAAGAAGGCCAATCTTCTCCTCGTCATCGGCTTGGTTCAGCTCGCAGCGTGGCTACCAAAAGGTAGGCTAGGTAAGACTTGAGTATGGGAGCTTAGGGTTTAGGGGGTTTATCAAAAAGGGTTTAGGCAAGTTGGTGTCGGCAGTTCCGGACGAGAGAAGCCTGCTGCAAAAGGCAAGTTGGTGTGGTTGAGGGTATGTGGCTGAACGTGTGGGGCTTTGACAACTGAAGCCTTCAGGTAGCCGCATGGTGGGATCCGCTTTGACTTTCAACCCTAATTTACTGAAGCGTAGAAACAGCTTCAGCCTCTAGGACATTTTCAGGTGGGTAGTTACCGTTATAGGAGCCTTATAGAAGGTCTATATAGCATAAGAGGCCCATAGCCCCATTGGCATAGCTGAAGACCGGAAGTCCGATTGTCAAGGGACTGAAGGAGGGACCCTTAAAGGGACTCTGGGGTTATATGGGGGTTTAGGGTTCTGGGTTTAGGGTTTAGGGTTTTGGGTTTAGAGACTATAGAAGGGGTATATAAGGGTTATATAGGATATTTGAATTAGGGGTCCCTTCTAGGGGTCCCTCCTATTGTCCCTTAACGATTGGAGTCAGCTTTAGCTTCAGCTTCCTGGCTGTTCACTCTTTTACATGTTTGTTAAGACACAATCCCAAGGGATTCTTGCAGATTTCCTGTCTGGACTTGTTAATTGTTTTTATGGGTCTAAGGAGCTTTTTGGTTCAGGGTGTACGCGGTTGCACAAGTCCAGATGCAAAAGGGTGTCGGGCTTCAGGATTTCGACTTTATGGTTTGGGTTTTGGGGTTTAAAGTTCAGGATTCCTGTTTCAGGAGATCAGGATTCCGATTTTAGGAAACAGGATTAGTGGACTTGGTCACCCTCCGAAGCCACGACATCCCTAGGGAAAGAACGCCCTACCTGTCCTCCCAGGTGCAAATCCTCGTGAGCTTCCAGGAGTGTTTGTCTGTGTGTGCAAGGTCTAGGCTTTAGCATTCAAACCCTCGAAAACAGTCACTCTCTCTTTCTCCCTCTAAATATTTATATATACACATATATTTATATGACTGTCAATATGTCTGTTTATCTCTATCACAGATAGACATACCTGGAACGCCCCAGCCCTCAGACCCCCAACTCGCCAGCTCCTTACTCGTAAACCCAATCGAAAGCCAGGACGCGGAGGGTACTCCGAAGCCTGCCCGAAGCCCTGAGGTTGTGCTCAACGGCCCAGCTAGCGAACACCCTAAACCCTAAACCCTAAACCTGGAAGCCTTCCGAAGCTTGAACAATTGGTCATGTTGTTCCGGAAGCTACCTGACTGTATTCGTAGTGTAACATTCCAGGGCCCACGAAGCTCATCGGCATGCTAAGGCGAAAAACGATCCGAAACCTCAACCAGCAGCCGCAACAATTCCCAAACTCTCCGCGACTTCCAGGAGTATTTGGTGGGGACGATCTCCTTCGACCGCTTTTGGCACTTTTGTGTTATATCGTTGCTTAACTCTTCAGGATGACGCTCGTTTTGGGGCGGGGATTTTGATGTGCAGGGCCAGAGCTCAGTGCGGGGTGTTTCAAGATGACCACCCTTGGCACTTATCTTCCAGGTTCATGTTGCGCATAGAGTTCCTGTTCTGCTGGTGCGAGTACTGCTTCCACCACTACCGCTGCTGCTACTACCACCGCGCTGCTACTGCTACGACTATTGTTGCCACTACTACTACTACTACTACTACTACTACTACTACTGCTACTACTACTGCTACTGTTACTGCTACTGCTACTGCTACTGCTACTGCTACTGCTACTGCTACTGCTACTTCTACTGCTACCGCTACTGCT